CCAAAGCAAAAGGTGCTAGATTGTAAGTTTTATTTATTTAGTGTAAATGAAAATCAAGCATTCTGTGAGAGGAATCTGTATTGCTTTTAGCCTCATCTTGTGCACCTTGGCATTGATATATACTTCTGTATACACTTTAAGATGCTAAAAAATATTTCACAAAGGTGCACACAATATTAGTCTCGTTCTTAATACATGTACAAGCCAGTGCTACAGCATTTTAAACTGTGTGATAGTGATGAGGAAAGGGGGCAAAAAGGAGTGCATGAGTATGAGATTTTGTGGATACTCAGCTCTGCATCTGAATGCAAAAACAGCAGATCTCCTTGCAGGTCAAACCAGGAGAGCTTATTCAAGAACCATGTACAAGAGTTCTAAGGTCAAGTGAAACAGAGTAACACACATTTATAGAGAAATAGAGCGTTTCTTTTAATGTCGTGTTGTAATGAGGGATGAAAGATGAAACAAGAATATCATTGTATCGACTTTCCTCAGTTACTTTTGGGAAACTTGAGTGATTTCCACATCCAAAATTCTTTATTATGATCTTAATCAGAGAAATTCTTTGGGGGATGCTAATATCTACATTTAAAAATCTGTATCTCTGCTGTTAAAAATGAGTACTAAATGAGGAATTGTATACTTGGCTAAGCTTCCCATTAATGGATTGCTTGTTTCTTGTTCTTTTTGTTTTTGTTTTTTTGTTTTCTTTGTTTCAGATTGTGACCAAGGAAAGAGAAGTAGCTGAGTGGAAGGAGAAATACGAAGAAAGCAGAAGGGAAGTGATGGAAATGAGGTAAGTCAGTATGTCACTAATCACACTGAGAAGATTGTTTCAGTCGCATGTAACACTTGTGCAACTATGATGGTTAATTGAGAGCTGTTATTTTCTAACTGAAAGCTTTGGATTGATCCTAAACCTATGTTTTTTTAATTAATGGTGGGCAAAATTCACTTTAGTTTGGAATAATCATTGCAAACCTGTATGTTGTTAATCTTATTTTCATCCTCAAAACACTGAGATAGAGGATCTTAACCCAAGTTATCTCTCTCCTACTACTGCTTCTCTCCTACGACTGAGTGAGGCTGCCTGGAGAGCATGTGCTAATTTAAAATTCAATTTCCACAAATAGTTTTGCCAACAGAAAAAAAAAGAAAATTGAAGGCTCTGGTATGAATAGTACAAGTCCTTCCAGGGAACTATGGTAAAGTTTCTTTAACAATATTAACACACCTCAGTGGTTAAATGCAAATGGTTAAATTGTAGAGAGTCACTCTGCATCATTTACTATGCCAGTCCATAAAGGACAAAAACCCAGTTACTAGTAGGAAATTATTTATCACAGAACCAACACTCTGGCCTCTCAAAATTGACCTTCAAGGAGATTCTATGTA